AAAAATGTCTAGTCGAATTTTCTATTAAAGCCATTTGTTCTCGAGATATCACGACTGGTAGTTGAAACAGAAAATGAATAGAGAATTCTTTCATTTCCTCCTCCTCCTAAACGTCACGATATCTCGAAAACGGTCGATTCCACGGAAAAATATCATCCGTTTTTTTTTCAAGCTTATGAAATTTCCGACAAAAAATGTCCATCAAAATATTCCGTGAAAACCATTCGTTCCCGAGATATCACGATCTGTAGTTGTAATACCGAGTGGATTGAAGTTCTTTTTATTTCGCCTGCGAGTATCGAATTGGTATTTGAGTTTGTAGTACTTGTACTCACGAAGAATCGTTTTTGTAATAAGTTATATTATCACCGCATCGTCTCCATCCAACAGCATGAAGACTCGCATCTTTTGTGGAATACAAGAGGGGCCTGAGGCCCTCATTGTACAGACTATCCTCTTTACAGAAATTCACAATTGATAATCTGTACATCGTCTTGCTCTTGGTATTGGATATTCGGAAATAAAACCACTGCATGTGCCTCTGGGTGTACAAGTCCTTCCTCAGGTGCAGCTGATAGTACGTATCGGTGATTTTAATGGCTTTTCCCAGATTTCCAGACTCGAAACGAGACTCAAATTTCAAATCGCTTGTGGCATTTGATCCAGTCGATGGATTCGTGTCTCCAGGCTCTTCCAGGGATGTATAAATATCTGAAGATGTCAAGACCACCGTTCCACCCGCACAGGATCTGCTAAACTGAGGAATTAATTAATTCATTAATTACCATTAATTTATGAATTTACAGGCATTTGATTACAAAATTTCATATTATAACAAATAATGAGAGTCTATTGATCTTCTCTCCGGAAATTAATAGCTCTCGAGGAATTTAAAGTGGATCATACGCAGAGGAAAGTTCGATAAAAATATACCGCAAGTACACGTAAAATTTACCAATTGATACGTTTAAATTGTTGGAAATAATTATTTGTGAAATCCTTGTTAGATTTTACAGTTTCTACAACAATTAACTGTTAATTAATTAATTAACTGCTCTCACTTGCAGATTAGGTGAAATGTTGCGGAATTTTTATTGATTATTTCTCTTTGTACATAAAATCGTGAGGTCCCTGAATTTTTCACGCAGTTTTTGAGGCAAAATTCATATCCTATGGCAGTACTTATACAATGATCACCACATTTACTGATGGGGAAAAATATATTTAGCAAAAGAAATGGCTTTTTATCACGATGTGCCGAAAAGTAATTTTTACGCACGCACCACTTCGCCTTCACACGCTTAGAAAGTCACCTTACCGCACATTGCGAAGAAAAATATTGTTCGCAACTCGTGCAGAAAGTTGATTTTGGCATGTGGGATTACACCACTCGCCTTCAGCTTGTGCTCTATACCTCGCACCCGCAAAAATCACTTTTCCGCACTTGTTACGAAATATACTATTTCTTAATGTACCATAAAATTCAGTATTTTCCGTAGGTTTTTCACCTGAAAAATCGAAATTTTCTCCGCATAAAGAATAAAAAAAATGTAATTATCTCACATAATTCGTTGCACTCATGGGATTATAAGCATAAATCACAGTCCCCATGTCTTCACTAATGGGTTTGGGCTTTGGTTCCTTTCCTGTTGGCACATAATAAGGTTCAGGCATTGGTGGTGAGTAATCGATGTGACGAACTCTTTCTTGAATCACCTGAAATGTCAAGATATAATTAATCTTCCAGGAATTATGAGTGAATGGATAAATTACTTTGCACTCTGTTGGCCACCTAGGCTCTTGCGTAATAGCATCAATTGGCTGGACATCCGCCTCTCTGTACTTGAGAATACTTGAGGTAATGGGTAATACCGAGTCTACGTCTCTTCGGGAAAACCCAAATCGATCCTGAAGGCACTGGGTTGTCAGGAAATTCCCTACGATCATCGAAATCCTCGCTTTAACCTCCCGACCCAGATTGTCAATATTTCATCATTCATTTTGTTGGATGGAAACTAATAATAATCAGTAATTGAAATAATTAGAGAAACATGTGTGGTTTATTATTCCGTGGATTTATTTTTGGTTAGGGCTTTCGTGGAAATTTCATTGCGAATTTTTGATTGTTATTTGTTCTCGTTCTATTTTAGTTTTCATTACTCTCCGATTTTTATTTTCATCATTTTTTTTTATTTAAAAAATATATTCGCATAACAACTAAAACATCTTGTTAATTTATTCTTCTCAAATTATTGAATGAAATTAATTAATTGAATCTGATCAGATTTAATTATTATTTTTTATTTTTTTTCTGGTAGTGTTTTAAATATTTTAAGGGGTTTTGTTTTTAAAATTCATGCAACTATTAAAACATCGAGTATTAAATATCATAAATAAATAATGAATTCCCTGAATGATTCAATGAGAATTTAAAAAAAATGAAACGAAAAATTCAAAATTAAATATTCAATTGAAAAGAAAGTTTTAACAATAGAACTAATTTATTTTTAATTCCAGAATTCCTGTATTTTCAATAAAATCTCAATATTTTTCCACACATGCTCCGATATAATCAATCACAATAATTCGAAAAAGCGTGAGAGCATCACATGGCTAGCGTGCTATGAACTTCAAATAATCCAATAAAAAAAAAATCATAAACTGGTGATAAAGAATCTTAAATTCAAGTCTCATTATTCACCAATACTTCCGGTGCTCTCTGACACCGGTTCATGGCATTCCGGCATTATATCTCCAGTTTCCTCCGACAATTACCAACTCTTACCCCTCGATTCGCTGCAAATTATCCGCACATTCATTCACAGCAAATAACAATGCCCCACGAAAAAAAGTCTCAACAAAAATTACCGGTATTTGAATTAAAAAAAAGTCCAATAAATTGAAAACTGGATGAGGAAACTATTCACGGTGAACGACCGGTGGAATTATGCGATGCCTGCGTGAATCTCGCGCTTCGAAAACTTTAGTTTTGATACATAGTTATGTACCGGAATGTAGTATGTATTCAACGAACTTGCACACAAAGATTGATCGATACTGGGTATTTCCTTTCATTCTGGTGGAGTTGAAAAAGTTTTGGGGAAGTACAATTAACGGCTTAATCACTCATTTTTTTTTCTGCATCGACAATTATGAAAACTCCTATTTCGCTTGATCGCCATTTTTATTTTTGCTCGATCATCATTCTAATTCTTATTTTCCATTGTTGTAAATTGATCCTTAAGTTTGACCCGCGATTTTCACCCTCAATGTTGACCCTCATAATCCTTATGTTTTGACTTTTAACTTTTAGATTTGACCATCAATTTCAATTCATATTCCTAATCCTTGGGTTCTGACGTTTTATTTACTTTTTTTGACTTTTTATTGACCTTTACGTTTTACCTTTTGACCCACAATTTTTATTTTTATTTCTAATTCTTATGTTCTGACTTTCGAATTTTAGATTTGACCATCAATTTTAATTCCTATTCCTAATCCTTACGTTTTGACTTACGATCCTTTATGATCCTTAACATTGACCCTCGATTTTGATTTGCATTCCTAATCCTTACGTTCTGATGTTTTATTCATCTTTTTTGACGTTTTTAT